AGCAGGTCCGGTTCGCTTGCTTCGGCAAGTCTTCGGTTTGGTCACTGCTTGACACCCTGTGAGTTCACGGCTCTGCGCCAGGCCTTACTAAGTCAGCATCGCAGTTATCATAGCACTCCATCTCGCCCTTCCTCAGGTTATGGCCCAAATGATGGTTCCCTTGGCCACAAACACCATCCATCACATAGTCATGACACACCATTGCATAAAGACATATAGAACTACTGGACCGTGTGGAAAGCCCACACTTCTTGTGTCGAGAAAGTGTTTGAAGCAAGTTCGGTGGCAACCATACTTTAAAAAAAAACAAAAAGGCAACAATTAAAAACAACCCAAAAAAACAACCTTTGCCTGAAGATTCTTAGGAGGCAGTATTCTAAGTTCTGGGGCTCAAGGAACCGGTGAACTAAAATGACCTTCCTCAAATCCAGGATCATCGGATCAGCAAACGTTCGGTATCCAGCCCAGCCGCTCGACAGTCAGGCAGTCACCCATACACGGCAATCCTGAATCCTTCTAATGTAGACTTTCGATTATATTTCAACCACCCATATGAAGAGATGTTTCAATCCAATTGGGGGGGCGCTACTAATCCAAGTGGTACATCCTCTTCTGATCATTGTTTCTTTTCCGGACAATCATGGGCGGCGGCCGATTCCGCCTCTTGGTGCACCCGATTCCGCGGGATTCGGTCGAAAGGTGTAGAACCTGGTCAACCCAAGTAGCATCTGCGACTGGAATTGCCGGTCAGCGTTGACATAGCTCCTTGGGAAGATGCGCAAAGGGAGCTCATCTATGCTCATATACCGGTCGCAGGAACTGACGGTGGGGGCGCCCCTGACGGAGGGCGGAGCTGGAGAGGTTGAAAGAGGATAGCAAGGCGATCTCCACTCCGGCGCTGAAGCATCAACAACCAATCACAAAACACCATTAGGCTCACAGACTTCCAATTGAGGCAGGTGAAGAGTGATCAACCAGGCACCTGTTCTTTACTTTGGAGGCCTTTTGCAACCTGTTTGTAAATTCGTTTGACAACCTCGTACTTGGTTGCTTGAGTTTCTCACCAGCGCCGATGGAGAACGGAGGGACGCAGGAACATCGACCGACCAACACCGATTCGTGCCGCTTCACACGTCCGAGATAGATCCCGAGACCCCAAAGGTGGCAGCTCCACACAGAAGATATGAAGGATGAGGAACCGATTGAGGACGAGATGAAGAAGGATTGAGGATGAAATGAATCTATTGGATCAAAATGGATCAAACTTCAAACTATATGACAATCCAGGGGCCCACAAAGAAAGACTCCTTTGCGTTGGACGTCAAGGAGCTCATAGCACTCGTTCTTGCAGTTGTCCCGCCCAACGGCACAAGCGCTGCCCTCGAGGTAGCTGAGGTAGCCTGAAGGGCTCCCAGGACTCTTCTCAAGCTGGGAACACTAGTAGAAGGATCTTCCCGCACCCTGAGTGGGAACACCAGTAGCAGGATCTTCCCGCGACCTTGGCAGGTCAATGGATGCGCCTGTGATGCCACTAGGCACGATGAGGAAAAGGACAATGACCTCAATCAGCACAGGCAACGATTCACGTTTTCTGTTGTGGAACCGGCGTTAATTGACATCCAGGACGAACAGCTTCAATTACATGAAGGTCAAAGGTCTATGGTCGGTCCAGTTGTGGCAGAATGGTGCTTAATTAAACTGTGAGGGCTCTCCAAAATGCTGAAAACAATCCCTTACGGTTACTTTGTCGATGTCGATGTCCCTTGATTCGTCAAACAAACCCTTTCCTGGCTAAGCATGGCCTGACACTTCGCAGCGAAGTCAAACACTGGAATGAGTATGGTGTCCCTCCAAAAAAGGAAAACACTGGCACACCGTCCAGTAGTCACCGTTCATTTCGAGCTTTACCTAACATAGCGCAGTGTCCGAACATACCGAAGGTGGGGTTGCCACCTCTGTGTTCCCCAAACTGGTCATTTGCCGAACAAGCCTGGGGACACACTGGAGATGTGTTTCCAGAACGATGCTGAGCGCCCCTGCAATCATCACGGGCCGGGGGCTCTCCTTCTTCTTCCCCTAGCAGTCTGACGAAGACACGCAGGTTGCCAACTCAAGCCTTCGAATGAACTTTCCTGCAGGTACCTTTTATGGACACATTGGTATGTGCCTTAGATCCTGAGTGACCTCTATTGCAAACCATCGAACATATAGTCATATCTAGGTTCTATGCATACAAAAGGACCCTAGGGATCCACATACCTTGCCAAAAGGTACGTGGATCCTCCGAGCCTGCATAAATAGTCTCCAATCACCTTCTCAGAAGGTATGTGGAGCCATAGGGAAACAATGGGACACATATAACAACCCTCTTGCTGCCTACAAAATGCTGGCATCCCAACCACAGGGGTCGTGCGACCAAACCCCTTTACTACTAAATGTGCATTCTGTAGGAGGGTTAACCCCCACCATTCTGTAGGCTAAATACCATCACTGATTCTGCTAGGTTGTTCGTCCCTATTCCTTTTGACATGTGATCTACTTATCAAGCAGGCTGGACCCACGCATTCATCATCATTGGTCTGAAATCATGTATATATAGAGTGGGCCTATCCGATTACCAACAACAGCGGATGATGATTGTTAGTAAAGACCTTTCTCTAAAATAGTGAACATTGTCTACTGACTGCTCATTGACCGTTGCACTGTTGCAGGTGATAGGACAAACCCAATATGTATACCTATAGCACCCATGAACGGAACGCCCCTGGAATAGCACTACCTTGGTGCGTGCGGAGGTCTGGCCTTGTCCATGCCACTGCTGGCCTTGGCAAAAAACAAGGGAGTTTTCGCGCGACGTCCGACTCCAGCTGTGGCATATGCATGTCTTTAAGGCGTTTTGGATGCGGTTTGTTGGTTTTTGCGGTCATGCGTTTGATGGCAACCCGTTCTGCCCCCCTCCCAACAATGCTCCCCAACTGGTCAACGATCCCGGGTCAAGGAAGATCATAGATTCATAGATCTTCCAACGCTTGAGAGACCTTGAGAGTGGCAGTGTCCATGTTTGGCAAATGTTCGGAATGAACCAAATTCGTCATAAATAAACTCGTCTAAACAAAAAACCACAAACATGAGTGAATATTGAATTCTCACAACGAAGGCTGTCTACAAACCGGCCATCAGCCCAGTTGCTACGCTCACATTGGTCGCATTGGTGTTCGACCTCGACACCCTTAGTTCGACATCGCTCGACAGGCAGGAGGTGAGGGAGTTGCTCCGTCAGTTGCAGGGCAGAAAAATTGAGCGATGGATGACCCTTCTCCTTTTTCCGCGAAAAACCTCACTGTGGATCACATCTCATATTTGTATTATCATTATTGTATAATGAATGATATATAACGCAAATCAAATGCAACCCGCGCTCTTCGGCCAAACGAACAGGGTAGATGCAGGTGTCACGGCACGTCTGCAGACGGACCAAGCAATTCTGTTGTCAGTGTCGGTTCTGAAAGGAGCCCTGTTAGAGTTGGACTTCTGCTCAAGATATGTTGGAAGTACGAGTACGTATCCGATTTCGTCCACACCATGCGCAAATGTAATCTGAAAGCTCCGGATTAAAAAACAGGAGATCCATGACGATCCATTGATATCGTTTTGGGTCAGAAGCTCAAGTTTTCCAACGAGCTTGAAGGTGTAAACGGCCAACAAAAATAACACCATCTGGTCCATTAGAGGCATGCTTCACCATCTGGTGGATGTTTGTATGCATGAGTTGGTGGCCTCTAACTACTTACTGACTATCCAGCTATAGCAGCCCCTAGTGCACCAGGCACGCCGTCTGCGTCTGCGGCGTCCACACATGCCAAGCAACTCCGACATGCCCGTCGCGTCGCACGGACAGGTGAAACGATGTGAAACGCTTTGGTCTGTCTGGTGCTCAGTCTGGTGAAAGAGGTGCGTTCGTGACTGCAAGTGATGGAGGTGCTTTATTGGCAAACTAAGGTGGCACACAACATACAAAATTTCGCCGTTGGGTTGGACGTTCAGCTTGCTTCGGGCATCATTGGTTTCAGTGCAACCCTTCCTGCTGCGGCCCCGCGTTGCGGCCCTGCGAGACCTGCCAAACATGGCTGCGAGGCCTGCCGCTGTGCGACGCATATGCCAATATGGATCCACATACCTTCTCAGAAGGTACTTGGGACCCTACAAACCCTACAAAGATATCCAATCAGCTTCTCAAGGCTTCTCAAAGGGTATGCGGATCCATAGGGCGAATGGATTTCGACCAACCGGGTCGGTTCACAAGGCAGAAGGTACATGAAGATGGACTTGGATTTGCCGACGCCAACATGAGCAACTACCATGCATGAAATGCGTTCATGCATGATCCTCACGAAAGGATGTTCACCTTTTCGTACCGGAACTCTCAACGAGACCGACCGGGAACTTCCAACCGCGTTCATGACACGTGTGTCTCGGGAGACCCACCATCTTCCAATCGGTTCCTTTGCATCCCCATTTCGCAAATGGAATGGATATGGATGACATCCCTGAAGGTTGGAAAGCAGAAATGCCCAGAAACAAGACTGAACCCGCGACCTGGTTGGTCCGACTTGCCCTGCGGACCCTACAAAATCAGACTTGTCTTAAACAAAGCTTCTGAGGGCTACCATACCCATTTGCCAGCAAATGATAGTCTGCACGAAGGTTTCAGCAGTTGAAGCCCAAGCATCTAGGTGAGGGGTATGTCAAATAGCCGAATTGGGAGAATCTCAGCAGATTGATCTCTTTCTGCGCCCAACAAAAAACCCACCAGCCAAAGAACAATTTGTGTGCTTCAAGAAATGCAATCATGTAGGACCCTAAGTAGATGCTCCCATTTGGATGTTCTTAACGACATCTTTGGGTTGGGATATGTTGGGATGAAACTCATGTTAAGGATGCAATTCATCAAGATCCTACCCATGCAAAGGCCGTCAAACCTGCCAACTGAGCACCCCAACTGCTTCAGCCACTCCTAGCCAAAGGCGTCCAACTCCAAACATCTCTTGGAGAACACGGTCCCAGTCACCAAGGTTTTTCATAGGAATATGCGGTGCTTTCTAAACGAAACTGTTCTTCCATTGAACTAAGCGGGTCATGAAACTCCAGGCTTCCCCACATCTGTGCAAAGTGCACTCATCAGCAGGATGGGGTTAGGTAGAATTCCAAACGTCCACATCCGTCTTGGACCAGGTCTCCCACTGTCTCGGCGTCAAGCACTCACCGGACGGTTGCGGTGTCAAGCACTCACCGGACCCAGCTGCTGTGACTTCGCGACCGGTGCCGACTTCACTGTCGAGGAAGGCGAAGTCACGTCACTCCAGGGCATCTGCAGTTCGAACCCATGGCCTTGTCCTTCTTGAAACTGTCTCTATCCATGTCAACTCTGACGCTTCCAAGGTTCCAAGTTTCTCTCGCGTTCTTGGTTTCCTCTGCGACCGGAGGACCCCAAGCATCGCCAAAGCCGGGGTGCCGCTGGGAGGATTTCATTCAGGTGGATTCAGGTCTAGTGGATGGAAAGTAAACGGCGCAGTCCCCCAAAGGTGGTTTACATATTGGAGCCCCATCTAATGGATTTCATAAACACTCAGATTTGTGAGTCCCCTGTCGTTTGCCAGGGTTTGGAACATGCCCGCATATGAATGCGACGCTCTTTTGCTTTTGCGGCACTTCATGTAGGGGTGCTGCGCCGTCGACTGCTCATGCATCATTTGACGCCCGTCCTTGCTCGCCTAAGCCCTCATTGGCCACTCCCGGCCTGGAAAGGGGAAAGCATGTGTGGCTTGGTGGCGTTTCTGGGCGCCAAGTAGTTGAGACTGACACGGTATCTATTGGCACTTATCGGTATCTCCATGTTGATCCATGACTTGTTAGCCAATGGTTACATGGTTAGCAAAGGCCTTTTCTCAAGAACATGTGATATAGTCTGTCATCTTTGACCGACGGGACACGCCCGAACGGCGGGACACACCCGTTCGAAGGGCCACGACGAATAGAGAGGCGGAGAGGCCGTCGGCAGTCGGTCCGACCATCCCAGAGAATATCTCCATCCTGAAAAGCTGACCGTCAAAGACTCCCAAGAGCAAAAAGAGAGGTCAAGGCCAAGCTGCCCTTTCGATGACGCAGCTTAGGAGGCAAGCACAACATGTCGTCATATCCACGGGAGAATCTGGTGGGTGCCTCAGCGTTTCCTAGGGTTTGGTTCGTGCTCTTCGTTTGGTGAGCCTATGATAGTATGGTTCTTCAGCTGAACATTTCGATGTTCAGATTCCATGGGGCATTTCACTAGGGAGACTTCCAACCCATGGGTTTTGATCAAGTTCTTTTCTTCCAGGGAGTCGAACTAGGAGGTCTCCCTTTTTGAATACACACCCATATTGATACACCAACATCCATCATCCTTTGGGTGGTGCTCCTTTGCCTGCCAGATCTACCAACCACTCGCCCGGCGGGCCCGAGCCTGGCCAAGCTTTTGGACACTCGGTCCACGGCCTGCAACAAAGGATCAGTGACTGGCGCATTTGTCTTTACTTCCAGTGGTTCCAAAGTGTTCCGAAGGCTTCCAAAGACTAAAGCCCAAGAATAACCACAAAATCAATCCAGGCTTCCAGAGATTAAAATGGAGTCGTCAGGTGTCGTTTCGTTCTCGGTATGACCCCCGGTTTGGGCTTTGTCGGTATGCATCTGTTCATGCCAAGCTTTCGAGCCATGTGGTGAAGCAGTGGGATGCGTTTCCTGATGCCTTGCGGTTGCATGGGGCCGAGTGAACTTCCTGGACCTTTGGATCATTGGGATGCCTAGCTTGCTCTGGAGGCTGAGCCTATTCAGTAGCATGTTTCTGGTCCTTTCACTGGTCAGATCCACGTTTTCTGTCCGAATCTGCCAGTGCCACGTTGAAGACAGCATGGAGCTTCCATGTCGCTTCTGGCCCAGCAGTGTGGCATCTGGGTCCATGGCATTCTTCGGACTATCAGATCAAACAGTGCCGAGTTTTTATACCACATGGTGCAGGGCTGGGTCAATCCCTCCAATAAAGCGGCAGTTGCCTTCAGTTGGACATGGGTTTTTGATTGTTCACATGGTGAAACACCCTTTGCCATCCACCAGACCTCTCTCTCAGCTGTGCTTGACTCAAGAGTCCGAGGCAGTTCACGCCTAGGCTGACCCCATCTCTTTCGTGTAACTCTTAGGTCCCCCCACCGCCACGGTCAACCTGGGCGACGCTTCTCGCGGTGTTTTGGGACGACATGCAGAGTGCCGGGGAGTGGGCGTGGCTTCGGGGAAGAACCTCGGTGTTCCAATTGCAGCCCGTGTGTTACACGTCTGGAATATGATCAAAGGTGAATCACATGGATCTTAAGTTGTTTTGATCATCTGTTGCACTCACGGTGGTGGTTTGCTGGTGGCCTCTCGGCCAAATCTGTGCAAGGTGGTTTCTGATCTTCCGGAAGTGGTTGCTGAAGCAGCACGTTCACGCCCAACGAGTGGCCCATCTGGTGCTGGATGCGATTTTTGTACACATCGGAACCACGGCAGTCAACCCAAATTAACATAATATTGCACCTCCAAATGGCAAAATAAAACCAAACACCTGGAAATGGTTTCTATCTCTCGACAGTGATTTGAAGCCACAAGTTTTTGGATGCTCCAGAATTCTGGTGTTTTAGGATGATCCACAATGACATGTTATTAACTGGGCGAGGGTATAATGTTCCAATCAGGATGAATCACCATTCGCATGACTGGGGCAAATCTGATCTGCTTCAGACTATACAAAGTGCCGGCCATGTGGCGAGGTGGCCGCTACCCCTAAGGCAAGGGGTGCAATGGCCTTGGGCGAATCACCAAAAGCAGCGGGACTTTGGGGGAGAAAAGGCCCTAAAACTGGAAGGCCAGCGTGTGGTCCAGATTCAGTTCCAGCTCCAACAGGGCACTAGGTGGAAAATCAAATGCATTCAAGAATCCGCCAAGTATAAACTTTCTGGTTTCTCAACCTTTTCGCATTGGTATCCTAAGAAATCTATCCATCAATTTCCAGCATATACAGCAAACATGAGCAAAAACGGTCAAAAAGCACGTGGTCGACGATGTAAGTCGCCAACTCATCCAAAGTCTTTTGCGGCTTGCAGGTGTGGAAGCCTCTTTTAGAAAACCAGTTGGATGGTTGTTTTTTTTTGAGTGTCGCACATCCTTCCAACTTTGGACTTTTCCATCTTTAAGCGCCTAATCTCAATTCCACATCTGGAACTGTCATCTGCATTGTCAGACGTTTATGAGAACAAAACAGCAACAAGCACATATCACCAGTGCACTGGTATACCTATACATAAGTCTGCTCCAGCAACAAAAAATATTGGTTTTGACCGCTCCAGCATATCAAACATATCTTCCTTTTTTTTGCCGACTGGAAGTTCCTGTGCATGACATGTGCCTTGAACGACTGCCAAAAAAGGGCCAGGAACAAACAGGTGACCCAGTTTCACTTGATTCGGAGCCATCCGCGACTAACACCCATTTCCGCACAAAAGCCCAAGGAAAGTCTCATGGGTTGTAAAGGAACATGGTCTTGAAACGGGGTCATTTTGAGGTTCCATGTTCGTCCGCGTCCACTTCACCAAGGGATCCAGCGCTGAGACCCTGGCCATGGCTGGCTTAGTCGGCCATGACGCCGCACTTTGGTGCCGGGGGCGGCGTTGGTTTAAGTTTTTAAATGTCTTTGTTTCCTTGAACTAGGCTTCTGGCGAGACCAACAGCTGATGAAGTGCAAAAACATAAGTTTCCTTCCTTTTCAAAGCACCACCCATAGCTTCTTGTTACTACTAGTAAGGCACTTGTTACTACTAGCGTGGCACTTGTTACTAGGGGCTTATTGTTTCTAAGGTAGAACTGATTGGACACTCACAAACACCTCAACGCCACAGAAATAAACACCCCAGCCGAGAGGATGTACCGACCATGTGCTGCGCCAGGATGTACCGTACCCTTTACCGTATCAAGATGTACCTAGTGACTTATTGCATACTTTTGGGATCAAGCCATATGTTGGTCGGTGCGAAGATATGCACAAACATGCGGTGAAAACGCACCTAAAGAAGCCACCTCGATGCGGTGCGGGGCGGTGCGATGGGCTCAGTCACAGGTATCAAAAAGAAAACATCAAGGAATTGTTCTTTTTGTTGGGACCCCGAAGCACTCATGGGTAATGGACAATAGTGGCATACATTATCATACAATTTATATTTGCCGGAACCCCCAAGCAAGTATGCTCATTGGGAATGGATCATCTAATCTGACATTAACTATACCAATGATTTTCTGGGTCCCGGCTTCCTTTCGGGAGGGCCTTTTCGGCAAATGACGTCACTTGGCCTCCACCTTTCGCACCTTTTTCTGCCGGCACGTCGTCGTTTGCCAACTTCTGGGCCTTGGGCCCACGCCACACCAAGAGCGCGGCGCGTGGGGCGCGCCTCCGCCAGCCAAGCCCATGGAGTGGTCGGCTTCTCAGCCTTTGCTCCAAGAACTAAAGCTCCTGTAGGAGGTCACTTTGTCAACTTTTACGGGTACGGTTGTCAGTTAGCCCACTGAGCCAGCTCAAGAGCTGACTCAAGGCGGAAGAATAGGTGTTGATAAAAGTTGGACCTTTTTGCAAGACATCGACACTGAATCGACACTATCTCGCTTTTGGAAGACACCACAAAAGGCTTCGAATCAAAAGCTTGTGGCTTTCGGAAGCATTTTCCTCACCATGGGGCTTTCGGATGAGGCCCTGTGCCGGGGTGAAACTCTGTCGCTCGGAAGTGGAACTCGTTGTCATGTGACTCATGTGTGACGTCCGTGGGCCTCATGCTTGGAAACTACATGAAACGGACCCCTCGTCACCTGCCAAGGTATGAACACTTGACCAAAGGTAGAGGAAAGTAGGGGGTTGCATAAAGCACCCCAAGCTCAAGGTGCTGGAGTTCTTGAGATAATACCATGATAAGAACTCCAGCACCATTATGTAACAACTTTTGTAACATATATATATATATATAATAACCATATATCTATATATAGTTATAGCACCATTATAAGAACTCCAGTTCTTGTATAACTTATATAACACCATTATAACACCCGCCTGAGAGGTGAACCCGCCGTTTAAAAAAAAGAAAGAGAAACGCCTGAGCACTCACTCACGACTGGACTACCCAGCTCGAGGGCCCAGGACTCGACTACACAAGAGGGCCTGGACTGACTTTTTGGGCATCTCTCCACTAATGCACTATAGGTCACGAGTCGAGGGTCACTCATTTCATAAGCCATTGAGTATTGGGACATATTTTCTTCGTTCCTTACTTGGGTCTTATAGAATGCGACCTTGCATCGGGACGGTGGAGGTTGACCAAGCGACTGGACTGCTTGAGGGCTCTGAGAACGAAAGAAAAAAACAAACTATCCCTAGTTGACGCATGGCAGTGGTGATTTTGTTGACCTCTGACGGTTGACCACTGGTGGTCAAGACTTTTTGCTTGGAAAGTGATGGTACGGGCACTGCAGCTCGTAGCTGGTGCCCGACTAGCTGCACCAAGACTGCTGGCACTGTTGATTACGGTAGATTCGATGCTGCAGTCGTCCACTTAGACAGGGGACCGGCTCCATAATGCACTTTACATGTTGCCACCATGAACCTGGAGATAAGTGTGTGTGACCATGTGTGACCTATAATTATGTCAATTCTGTTGGTTCTGTGCTTGAAGAACTGGGTCACAGAACGGTGTATACATATATACATACGCAGTATTTCTTTTGGATGCAAAAAGCTCCACTTCAAAGCCTTCAAGAAGCATCTCACATCGCTAGAAGAACCTGCGTGGGGGTGGGCAAAAAAGAAACATCCATGTTCTGATGCTGTGACCATACCGCCCAAAAAAGCATTACAGTGGTTTCAGAGTAGATGGTGCAAACCCCAAAAATGTCTTTTAATATGGGGGTCCGTTTAAACCACCCTTTGGAGGTTGTGCCATCTACTCTGAAACCAGTGTAACCAGCCCATGCCTGTTGCCAACAGAAATTCTGAACAAAGATAAGAGGGGAGGACGCACTTTCTACCCTATTCTTATTCCCCAACAATTGGGGAAATCGAGATGGGCCTCCCCCTCGGTGTATATTGACGAGAAACATCGTCTTGTATTCTTTTGTTGTTTTACTTAATAGTAGTAGGGAGAATGCGGATAGATCCGAACTGGTGGCGGCGTTCAGGCAATTTCACGTTCAATTGGCTGGAAGTCATGAGCTGGCCTAATCTATGTCAGCATCAAATCCCTTGGTTTTCGTTTGTTTGCTTTGCAGGTTCTTAGACCTGCAGTGCTCCGCATCGTTCACGAAATTCAACAGGCACGTCCTCATCAAAAGAACCACCAAAAAGTTTACATGTTAAATGTAATATTACACCATTATACCGCATCCTCAGAAGGTAGGAACTAACCCTGAACCCACCCCAACCACCCAAGCTCTCGAAGGTATCCAACCCCAAGAATGATAAGAATGGATATTCCACCCACCACGGGCGCTTCACGCTCAGCGCCCTTCCATCCACCGCGGAACTCGCCCTCCTTTTCGTGCCGCGTTCGCGTCCAACAGCTGCGCCGCGCTGGGAGCACCATCGGCTGCCCCCAAGAGCCGGACGAGTGAAGTCCATTGGGCACCCAACTCATAGACCAGCAGCACCTGCCCACGTTTGGGAGGAGGATGGACCAAACAAACGACCTCCCGTGACTTGGGGGTCATCAGAAAGACCGGACCGGAGGATTCCGGCCTTGAACCGAACCTTGAACCCTTGATTCTGCCGAACAACTTTCAGGTTTGGGCCGTGGCGCCATTGGGGATTTACGGATCTTAGATCACCAACATCGACGGGAGCTGACTATAACTTGACTCTTAGGACATCTGACATGGTAAGGGGTGCATTTAAATAGTGAATAGATGTGAATAGTGGGTTGAGAGTCGATGGCACAAGGGCCCCCGAGTTGGGTGGTGCAATGATGGACCCCCATCTAAAGGACATTTTGGGGTCTGTGCTATGTACTCTGAAACATTCTGAAACCACTGTAAATTCATTCAACGTCTTTGAACGTGCGATTTGCCAATAGTCTTTGGGACCCCTGTGATGTTTTTGGACATCTGCAGACAAACGCAGCAGGCACTTGTGCTGACTCAATCGGGCCGCCTTCAAGTCGATTTCCACAAGTTTTGTGAACAATTGGCAAGGTTGAAAAGGGCAATCGAAGAGTGTCGAACTTGAACAGTATATACTATATCAACAAACCATGCACCATTCTTCAAACTTCTTACTTTGGTATAGTCACCCCAAACCAGCTGAGAGAGCCTTAAGAACATGTGTATACTGTATACAATCACATCTACACTGTAAAACAATAAACACAACAGCTTGTTGCTTCAGCATGCCCACCAAGCCCACGTCTCACCCACGTCTCGGCATGCCACATCCCGACACACACGACACACGAACTGGGCGATTCCCACGGTGCTGAAGGTGGCCCAGTTGATGCTCCCGTCGCCGCTACCGGTACCGTCGCAGCGCAGCAAGCGCAGTGCTGCAGCCCAGTGGTGCGAAAGCGTGCACGCTCGTAGGCAGGTCTGGGCAAACGGGGGGAGAGAGAGGTGGGCAATTGGAGGGATTGAGGAATTGAGTCGGATTGAGATTGAGGGATTGAGGAGAAGGACAAACTCCTAGAAATGAGAGAAAACGACGAACATATCATCATGTAAAAACCCAACCATGAGAGTTGGTCTATGTAATACTATAAGGTTCATGGGTCCGCAGTGGCCGGACTTCAGTTTTTTCCGCACCCAACACGACGATCGGTTCCTTCAGGTCGATGATCAAAATGGGGATCCAGGGATGGATCATGGTTACATGGATGGCATGACCCCGGATTCGATTGACCATCTTCCCGCGTTCCACTTCGAGGAATCATGCTATCCAGCTTCGACGGCGGGATGATTCATGAAACAAGCCCAACGACTCCGGCGCAGCGGCTTCTAGACCTACCAGGTGTTGACTGAATTGAAGCCATTCCCACCACTGCTCAACATGAGCTATGGCTTGGAAAAATGAGCCGACGTTGCGCTATGAATTGGAGCCTGGCACTTGGCACCCTCTAAGTCACGAAGTCACAACGAACAGGTTCCCCTCGTCCGGCTCCGTCCGGTCCGGATCGCCTGACGGACGACGGACGCCCCGATCCCGGTCCCGGTCGCTCGTTCAATAGACCCTATAGGGATCCAGTCGTACCTTCTTAGAAGGTACTTGGACCCTCCACACCTGCATAACAGTGCCTCCAATCACCTTCTGAGAAGGTACTTGGATCATCTTGGATCCCCAGATGGTCCAAGCGTCTGCATAGGTAATGCTATCCCGCTGCGTCTCATCGATGCTGTCCAGAAAATCCAGAGCACGGTGCCATTGAGACCCCGTCCTGGGTCGGTTGAAGAAAACGACGGAAGGTTTTCACATCAAACATCCCCAAAGGACTAGAGACCTAGAGACCTGACCAACTGTGTCAAAGCAAATCACCCGTTTCTAGTTTCAACTGGACCTTGGGGGTGACCCTGGCATGGCATTGAACATGACTCCCTTGAGGACCCATCTGAAAAATGGTCAAATATTCGAACCCCTCATTCAACAGGAAAAAGGTCTCCACATCAGTCACATCAATAGACTCCAGACTCTGATAGAACCAACTTGATCCAACTTCCACCTGTCATTGTGGATCCTCTTTCAACCGTCACCTTCCTTTCGCCTTCCTTCAGGCGTCTCGAGAGCGGTCATGAGCGCATTCCGCGTGATGGTATCAGGATGAAGTTGCCGCGCTCGCACGGAATCGTGCAGCGCCAAGGCCTTGGTGTTGAGCTTTGTTTGGCAAGATGGATTCGAAATAGTTGATGTTTTTTGAGTTAAGGAGCCACAGGTTAAACATCAAAATATCTGAAGCCACCACCCTTGAGTTCATGTGTTGGTGCGGATGCTTCACTTGGGCAGCTCAGGCACCTGTCTGAGCTGCGACTTCGACCGGAACGCCACGCCAAGGCTAACATGATCCGTTTGGAGGAAGCACGAGGACGGTTCCAACAAAAAATGTGTGCTTTCAGGTTCAATCTTCCAGGGCATTCCTGCAAATGTGTACCTATACCCCTTCTTGTGGAAGGACAAGACCCGCTTCCGAGATTCAACGATTTCAAACTGGCATCGCCCTCCGAATCATGTTTCAACAAGTACGTGCCCAAGCGAAACATCCGTAGATCTCGCGAAACTTGTTTCCTGAGACATTTCGAAGTCCTGGAGGATCAATGTAGACTCTTGATTGATAACGCACCCCTTTGAATTGAACATCTTCAGGCTTGGGGGGTTGAAATATAATCAAGAGTCTACATGACTAAGCCCACTCAACCTGTCCCTCCCGCCCATCGGCCTGCTCCCAGCAGCCACAGCGCGCACACGCACTCAGCGCCGCGTTCACGCTAATGAGGTCGGCATCCAAGCCCTCAGAACCACTGAGTTCCTATGAATCCAAGCACATGCAGGTCAGTGATCGGATGGTCGGGGGTTTATAGGTCTATCCTAATACCTGTAACAGTGGATGATGATGGTTAGGTTTCAGGCCTTGTTCAAAAATAGTGATAATTGTTGTTTACTGTATGTTAATTACAGGAAAAAGCGGACAAACCAAAAAAAACATATAAATATATAAGTATATAGTTATATATATATATTATATGATATATATACATTCATGGATGACAGACAAGTGCCACAAGAAATATTTGGATATGGAGGGGTGTCTTTCTGCCATCACGGAATCTCGTGGAAGGCATTTTGGAGAATCCATTTCGACGCACCACCATGGACCCGGGTCGAATGGTACCCTCAAAGACTGTTTTCCTCTACAAACCATTGGTTTTCAGGGTCTATGTAAGTTTTCAGTGGGGTACACCCGTGAAGCTTCACATGGAACCTGAAAATGGACCTTGGAAACTCTCCAAGGGCTCTGCGGCAGGGCGACCTTCAGGGCTGCTTTGAAAAACTAGCCAGCCTGTTCCTTCGCCCAGCGTCTCCAAATGTGCTTATGGCACAAGAAAGAGCAAAGCAATTACATTTGACATTGACTTCCCGTTCTGACTTCTGGGAGGACTAGCCCCAAAACCTCTTTCCATCGAAAAAAGACATCAGCTTCTTTAACGCCAGAGCTGGAGATGTTTTCGATCCCAGAAGTCACCCGTCCCGTCGCCCCGACCGGAGAACACACCCGGCCGACCCAACGGCCTGACCTGTCCAACGTCATCGGGGCCCTGAAGTCTCAGGGAACGACCCGAAGGACATTGGTTGAAACCAAGCAGCAAGGCTGGCGAGGAGAAGCAATGCCACCTGCCACTGGTGGATCTTCCTGATAGCTGGTGTCACAGGGCCAGCGACGAGTTTAGCTGAGGCCCCTGAAGACCAGATTAGAACCACGAGTTTTATGGTGCGAGATCCACATGTGGATGAAGGCATAGTAGCTTTGCCAACGGAGGTTCCAGCAGCAGCAGCAGCAGCAGCAGCAGCAGCATACGAGAGTTATTCTCCAGCAAACTAACATGGAACCTGAGAATTGACAAGTGGAAGACCATTGTCCTCTACAACCCTATGGTTTTGGGGTTCCATGCTCAGTTTGCAGGTGAACATGTTCATACACTTTCGGATTCTATACTCCGATCCTTCAATGACACGATGCCGAGGATCCAAGAGGGCACACGGACCCAACTGAGGACATGCCCGACTTTACTACACTCTTCTCTCTACATCTCCACGTTCCATATCACTCTTCATGCTGGACATGTTTGTTTCCATACCTTAACTTGAGGCCGAGGATTCCAGCCCCTCACTTGCCTTTAACAAGAACAACTTTCTTTTCTTAGCTGGTTCTTCCTTCCCCTCATCGTCTCACATCCGCCATGCCGGCCCTTCTCACTTCCGCCGAGAACCGACCGCCGAAGACCCGGTCACGGTCTTGCGGTCCAAGTCGCTCACACGCGCTGATGGCGGAGTTCACGCAAACCACCGAGGTGGGCACCTGCGATCGAGGTGAGCGCTGCGCCCTGGAAGCAATCCCCACAAGCGATGGGGACTGGAATGTATTGTGGCTGTGGGACCACAGGTCCAATGAAAAGAATAGCCCACCAGGGTCACCAGTGAAGTGAACCTATACGAGGGTTTAGGGTTCCAGGAACTGTTCTTCGATCAAAACAAGCCCAGTCCAAAACCTTCCGGCCAGGATGAGATGACCCTCCGACTCCTAGCTAGCTATAGCTAGCTTGCCCAAAACTGAATGGCCGAATCATGAACATCATCCTTCAATTCCAAGAAGCTGGACAAGGTGGAACAACATCCCCCAGAATCCTTCAGAGCATCCATGTATGGAACAGGTTGCATACACACTCTATTGATGACCCATTTTACCCATCATCCGCTGGAGGCGCTCACTCGATCCGCCTGGGCGTTTTGCATCTCCTCGAGGAGTTGGATGGCCACCTGCCACTGGTGGCTCCTCTCACAGGCGCCGATGGCCGCGCCGTAGCAGAACTCCTGGGAGCGCACGTCTGCGACTGACCGGGCCGAAGCTAATGGGCCGATGCTGTGGACAAAAGGTATTTTTCATGAGGGGTCTTTGAAAAGCTCGCGACACCTGTCATGTCACATGTCATAATATATAGAGACAAAGGAGTGCCTATTGGAGGATAGGGATGCCCTATCCACTCACTGGACGGGACTAAAAACCATGTCCTTTGGAACTGCTGGTAGGTCACTACCCCTTTTTTTCTTCAAGGGAAAATGGACAAAACCACTGAAGCATGCATCCGACCTCTTCAGGGCACCCAACACCACTGAGAAGAAGTGGGGCCTCGAGAAAACACCCAGCATCGTCCCAAGAACGAAGCGTGAAGCTCACCCAGCAACGATTCGTGTGGATCTAACCAATTCCAACCAAACACATACAAAAACATCTAGTTAAACATAGCGACTACCAACAACAAGGCAACAAACCCACCGATTAAACAACATCAATATGTATACTATATGCGCTATATGCCCAAAGCACATCGGCCGTGACCGTGGCAGTGGCCATCTGCGCCAGCAACATCAGTCCTAGCGGATTCAGCGGCAGTGAAGCTTTCCAGGGAGTGGGTCTCGGTACTCAGTACGTCTGCAACGGTCCAAGAAGACCTACCCGCCACTTACGGTGACCCTGTCATCAAAAAATCCATATCCATAAGTCACCCTACCTGCTTTTCTTCCCTTCTTTTTCTTTCAAGCCGCAAGCAGAACACACATGAACACAGATCCTAAGTGATCGATACAGATCATTCTATGGGAATCTGACTGCTCCATCTTCCGGCTTTCTGACTGCTCCATCTCCCCATCATCTGACCAACTATCCGACCGTCTTGTGTCAAACAGCCGCCAAAACAAAAAAGAAACATTCCTCTGCACTCTCAACTGCGAGAAGTTCAGGAGTCTACAACTTTCGCCTCTAAAAACCCAAGGAACTTAGGCTAAGAACTTTACATGATTGAACTCCACTCCACACGACATCCACACGGACCGCCCCCCGGCACTTTCCCAAATCACGCCGATTGTTTGGGCAAATGGACGTCTCACTCAGCCTGTCATTTCACGCGTTTTATGTCAAGTCACCGAGTGGCCCTGGAGGATTGAGGTGCTTCCGTCATCCAAAAACCGATCAGAACGCCCAAAGTGAAACACTTTCACTTATCCGATTCATGAACCACATGCTCTTCGCCCACCGTGGCCCGGCCGCGCCCACAGCGCACGGTCCCATCTGCCACTGGCCACGGCGTGCACCCGCATTCATCGCCGCAGCGTAGGCACCAGGATCTGAGCCGTGCTGCTGCAAGAGCTGCAAAGCCATCCTGGGAGGCCAAACGTCGGCGAAAGAACCGAGGAACCAAACGTGCCGTGCCGTCGGCGCTGGTGTCATGACTTGGGGAATGGTGGCAAGACGCCCGAGTAGAGCAAAGATCTACAAGTAAATAGGGAAGGGAACACTTGCCTGAGTGTTCTTGAAAGACCGCCATTGCCCCTCTTTGGTGACTAGATATATGATATATAGGCTTATTGAATTAGCATCTACATCACCAGTTTGCTGCCCTTCTGCAGCCATTCACAAAAATAATGCCGAGCTTCTCCAGTTCGCCGGCCTCAAGATGGTCAGTGATGTTTTGTTGCAAAGGATTTCAGCCGCACTCAACTTCACTCAATCACCAGGTTGTTCTGCTTGTGGAATCAGCCTGCATTGTGGTCATTGTGATTTGTACGAATCTGTGGTTTTTGCAACTCGCCCTGCACCGCGCCTTGTCGCAAAGACTGATGGCGGCGTTGTAGCAAATCTCCTGTCAACTTGGATTGTGACTTGCAGGTGTGGTTCCTAACATCCAAAGGAAGAGGTCTTTCAATGTCCTAAGAAAAAAATCTTAGCCCGAACAAATCAAACAATCCTGTAAGCATTGGCGTATCCATGTAGAACCGCAGAACCAACTGCTCAGGTATATATTGTTCACATCATCCTGCAAGACGCAAGAAATCTCCGAGGGGCGTCCGACTGATAGCAATAAACAACCCCATGTGAGACGGCCTTCCAAAGGTAAATGCACATTTATATAGGAACATTTAGGGCGAACAGCTTGATGGTTCCTGTAACCGAATTGTGGTGTTTCATTTGCTAAACCCTCGGAATGTACCAGGCTGGATTGTTCAAATCCGACACAATCCGCACCCACCCCGTCTGTAGGTGGAGCACCCGGAACAAACGAACGAACCGAACGGACGTGCAATGCAACACCTACACTGAACACTCAGTGCAACAATCTCCAATGCCTAGCGTTTGGTCAATCACCCCAGCTCTACATGAGGAAGTCTTTCTCAAAATGAAACAGGTGCCCGCATGGCGTGGACGAAAAAAGCACACTCCAAAGCGAATGAATCATGAATCCCTTCTTCTGCCCACAAGGTCTACCACGGTTGGGGGGACTTCTTTTATCCTGCCGGCATCCAAGCCCCGCTTGAAGACGGGCATTGAAAACCAAGCAGCATTGGGCACCGCCAAGGTGCCTAGGCAACCCACGAAAGACAATAACAAATGCAAAGCATTTAGTGTAGACTCTTGATCAATAACCCCCCCTTTGAAGAGGATGTTCAATGGGGTGGTATATGAATCAAGAGTCTACATTAGGGGGATTAAAAGATATCACGAATGCGAACATGGACCCAGAAACCCACCCAGAGTCATAAACACATGACATATGCGGCCAAAAAGGGGCCCAGAAAAAAGAAAAAACACACACACACACACCCAGAACCGTATGCGGAAACAATGAGCCCAAATACTGTCACAGCCGTCATATAGAAGCACCCATGAAGTCATAAACAACTGTGAGGCAACAATGGACCCAAGCATGAGGTGACGAGACACTGCATCATGGAGACCCTCTTTCAACATCAGCCCAAGCCTGGTTTACAGTACATCAAATTCGGTGTCGACCACTGACTACTGTTGATGTTTGCTTGGGTGATGCTGGACTCGCCCATCAGCTGATAACCGTGTTTTTGTTTTTCGTGCCGAAGGCCCCACCATAGCTTGCTAACGTTGGGTGGTTCCTGTCCGCAAATGTATCAACGTCTCTCACGTTTATATAGGAGGTTCCTGTTCCGGGGTGACTAGCTACTAACTAACTAGTGTATCAGTGTATCTCAATTGTCCATTCATGTCTCACCAGGTCGTTCTACATTCCTAGTCGTTCTACGAACTTTCGAAACAACTTACACCCACTGCAACCCAAAGACTGGACCAAGTGCCATGAAGCAGGTTTCCAACTGGACAGACCGGGTCACCTTCTTCCGAATGAGGCGCGACCTTTAAATCAAAAAGGAGCCACTTTGAGCATCTCCCCCTCCAAGTCTTTACTTTGCTTCAGCAAACCTCCTAGACCTAACTCGCCTGGTGTTCGCCAGGTTTTGCAAGAAAATCGCTGACGACCTACAGTAGGTCCTTGGGCGTGTCTCCATGCTCTTTTCATGTTCCCCCCATGCTCTTACAAACGGATTGGTGAACTGAAGGAGGGATTCAAGCAAGTCGTGACCCCTTTCACTTCATGGTTCCTAATGAAATCCGGATCAACAAGTACATGTGTTTGTTATATCCACAGTCAATGGACTTGGTCTCCCTGCGCACAGAAGTACTTGACAACCCCCTGTCACTTGGAACGGCGGCCCAGGGCCGAAGAACCCGGCGGGCCTGACAGCAAGCCAATGGCCTGAGGCCAAACTGTGGGATCGCACGCCTGGGAGATCCGGACAGTGGGGAGGGTGGAGGGTGGAGGGACCTCTGCTGGTTAGGACAGGCGCTGGTCCAGCGAAGGAAGAGGAGCAGTGGTTCATGGTTGCCGAGGTGCTTTCATGGTTGTTTGCTTGTTTTGTCTCCACATGTTTCATCATGTTTTATCGTTTTTCTTGATGGATGGTGTGCCGACGTGCCTTTCTTACCGCAGCTCCTGGCAAGCCACTGGCCAGACCTTATTGATACTATTCCGAATCGGTATCTTCAAATCAAAGTGTGTCACAACTCTTAACCCATCAATGAAGAGACCCAACATCGGCAGCGGCAGTTCCATACTGTTCCATGTCGGGCATTCCAAACTTCTTAGAGGATTGGTTAGGGGTTTGCCAGTACCCGTTCCTTACATCCACGACCCCTGGATGGGACTCAAAACCTGTTCCGTTGGAAGTGCTGGGGGCTCATCTTACTTGGTTTTGGTGGTTTGATCCGTCTTTCTCTCTCTTCAAGAGGGTCCCCCTTCGCCACTGACCCCCTCAGGTTGGAACAGTGCAAAAATGCAGGTCAATCCTTTTTTTCATCTGTTGGATGTTTTTCGTGAGGAAGCCAATCCCCCCAAAAAAACGTTGCAGGTGATCCACTTTGGCTGCTTAGTCGGTCCCCGACACCACCTGTGGTGATCTTTTGTCGAGTGTTGCGGCCACCTAGCTGAGTCCTAGCGGAAGGCACTCGCTTCCAGAAACACCGGAACGAAGAGGTCCCGCCTGGATCGGGCCACCAACCTACTTCCGCCTACTCGTTTCGATTTTGACGAACTGAGACGTTGATGCAGAAGAGAGACGTTGATGCAGCTACTGAGGCAAATCCTGAGCTGAAGAACTCAAAGCATGCCGAGAAGTCGTGGAGGGTAAATAGTTGGAACATGTTGGAACAACAAAGAGAACAATTCTCAAGGTGTACTCCGAACATGTCATAGCCCTTTGGGCTTTGCAAGAAGGTGTACTCCAAACATGTCATAGCCCTTTGGGCTTTGCAAGCTCAACGTGCCCACCATGTACAAAGCACCCGGGAAAAGCAAGGTCCTATCAATGCCAGCTGGCACGGAGTCTGATTTTCTGTTTCACCTTCACTCGCTGGCGATGGAGGGAAGCCTTGATATCGGATCTTGTCCACTCCGAAGAGTGCTTGAGAAAAGATGATGGCTTGAATGCTCCCAAGGGTGACTTCGAGGGCACTGGACTCGGCCCAACTCCCAATTGACCCAACCTGACTAAGAACTACAGAGTCTTGACCCATACACTTCACTTGTGCAAATCCCAATCTTCAGGCTTGGTGCCTTCACCTAGTCCCTATAGGCATGTCTCCTTGCAGCCTCCCTGAGCCTGGAGTTGTTTGCAGGCTTTTCTTGAGAGCAGGATGTGGAACCAAAAATTCCTTCCACCCTGCTGAAGGCCAGCTTGGGCAATTAGTTCTAGTGACACCCAAAGTATATTAGATCAGATTTTGACACACTGGATGGCAATGGATGATCTACATCATGGTGAAGACCTTTCAGAATTCCACTTGGGAACTGCTAGCTACTCCAAATTGAATTCGACACACCAACCAGTGCCCAGTGCCCGTTGACCGACCAAAGGGTATGGCGCCCCTTTGCCGCCGGAGCAGCGCGTTTGGAGAGCACCGATCACGGGTCATCTGCTGCAGCAGGTGCAGTGCGTCGCTCCAGAAGCAACCGGCCAAAAGAGCGCGGAAGGTCACCTGAAGATGGTCCCTGAGCAAGCAAACCCTAGAAACATGTAGGTTTCTAGACCAACCCTACGTTTTCTGCGGGTCTTGTTGTCTAGGGTATATATATATATGTATACTCCAATATACTCGACCAATATAGACCCCCAAATAGAATCAAATAGATAGAAAAGTAGATCCACACGAAACATGTATTGGAAGCCGTGCCACTATCTATGTGGGCCACGTTGTCACTACCCTCGGGTTCTAAATGCAGCCTGGAGGTCCAGAACCTCTACGTACTTCCAAAAACTTCCGAAGAATGGCACCTGGGGCCAAAGGAAAATCTCAACATGCGAGGTCCTCAATCACCTCGGAAAGAGGCGAACAAATGGAATTCACGGCTGGTGCCACTCAAGTACATCGCAGAGTCGCAGAGCCTATAGTGCATTCAACCCTTCATCCACTCCACCATCCGCCCTCCATACCCTCCTCCGGGCGCCTCATCAGGCGCCTCCTCGACCACCCGCGACGTGAGCACTTCGCTCAGCGCCCAGCGCCAGCGCCCCGGCGCCGCGGCGTTGCGCAGCGCCCGGTCGGCGCGCATCCCGCCGGTGCCGAGCGCCGTCAGCCTGGAGCGGCAAAGCGAGATGCTCGGCCAGCATGGTGTGGTGCCCGAAATGGAGCAAAGAATTCGAAAGGTGTAAAATTCTGAGATGGATGGCGGATGGCATATATAACGATTATAAAGCGAGATTGCCAAGCAAGGAAGGAACCATGCTCTGATGAGCATGCCCAATCAAGTCTGTGTCAGACTGCTGCAGCCGCCAGTTTGCCAAAATTGGTTCAGCAAACTTGTGTGAGCATTCACACCAGGCTTGGTGTAATCGAGCAAAGGACAGAAAAGGATGAGTAAATCGATGTCAATCTCATCCCCAACAAAACCAAGTACCTTCTCAGAAGGCACCTGGACCCTCCAAACCCACCCCAAACACCTTCTGAGAAGGCACTTGGATCCCTACAAATCCACAGGGCTCTTGGATTTTTTGATGATTTCTTGATGATGTAGTCTCCAGAAACTGTTGAAAATCAAACAGCCTCCTTGCTTCGTTCTGAAAGAGAAGTTTCTGTTGAAGACCAGCAGCGGCCAAGTCAATCAAGTCAGCCCTGAAAGGCAACAATGAGCCGGTGCACACCAGAAGCCTCCAAACAAAACTTTCAATGAGTCGGTCAAGTTGAAACAATCAAAGAGCGCCACCAAAATCCGCCAAAATAGGCCCAACACGTCGGTCAAACGATTGACGTGATAGTTTATGCTATGCTTGTGCCGCGCACAAGTATATGCTCAGGCGATTTTTGACTTCAGCTGCAGCTGCTCCTGTTGTTGGTGGACTTGCCAGCGAGTCGGAGTTGATGTGCTTGTTTCTGTTGTTGGTCTTCTTCCTATTCTTCATCCACTGCTCCTTCAACGTCTTCTTTCCTCCCCTTCTTCCTCCCCTCCTCCTGTTCTCTTGTCTTGTTCTTGCACGGATGACACGAAAAATGAACAATGATGACGATGAAAAACATCTATGGATTGACGTCACAGGGACGTTGGGCCATGGTGGCAATTGTGGCCAGTAGATGGTGATTCCGATTCCTATGGTCCTGATTGGAAACAACAAAATATGCATAGGTTAGATTAGGTTAGCATAGGTTGAAGAACCCTATAGCCTATCAGATAGGTAACTGATATGTACCACTACAAGGCTCCCTCTTCTTTATATAATCCCAACTATGAACCATTATATACCCATCTATTCAAGTGGGGATGCATTTAAAACATCGCCACGGATTATTACTACTATTTTTTCGGGCGACCTGCCTGCAAACTACAATAGGTTAAATACGTTTAAACACATGGCAACAAGATGCAACAAGTAACAGCAACGATGCCAAGGGCCCAGCTGCCAAGTGCAAGTGAGCTGCAAATTCAAAACCTCCCGCCATTCTTGGCACTTGCTGCAAGCGCCGATGGCGGCAGAGAAGCCTTGGCCAAGACACATGTGAAGCTGGCGGAACTTCCGTTTGTAGGGGAAACAGGTTGCTTTTTCCCCAGCCTCCCACTCAGTCTCAGTGCGTTTTCGCCACTGCTTGCCCCCGCCTCCCCCTACTGGGTGCCCCTCTCGTGTTTTCGCTACCGAAACGCTGATCGGATCGACTCGAAGCTGTGTCTGTTGCATGCGCTGCAGCCAGCAGGTGGCCGCATGCCAGGCAGCGCCTCGCGAGGAGGCTCCGGCTCAAGAGCAATTCTTGAAAACATATTTCTTTCTTTCCTCTTTGCAATGATCTGACACCGAGGCACAACCTGTTTGGTCCCCAATGCGGGAACAATTTACGGCGAGAAAACACGAATGCACGGAAGGCACGAAGGCAAGAAACTAAGCGTGCGGCCGAACGAAAGCAAAGCTGGTTGCGATTTCAAGTACATCAAGGTGCTTAATTACGAATTTGAACAAGCGGTGGTGTCGTCAACGTAAAGGACAAATCGTTCCGTGTTTTCCTTGTGCTGGTCAGCGTGTTCTGAAACCAGCGTGTAGCATTGAGGCCACCTACAAGTGAAGGCCGGGATGCAATGCCTGGCTTCACTGCAGAAAAACCCAATCTGCGTGCTGACAAAGCCTTAGTACAATATGCGAAAGGCATGGCAATGACCCCTTTGCGAACAGGCATTTTGAAACAAATTGCGAAGGTGCTAATGTCCCGTCCCAAAGTGGGAGAGACATGATACACAAGCGGATTGTGTTTTGAAGCGTACCTAGCAGCGACCCCACACTTCTTAGTCCCAGGAATGAGTGTTGAGGCTAGCGTACGCGCGTGCGCAATGAAGTCGATATGTCGTTTTCAGGACAAACAGGCTCGCCATGAGGCCAGCGCAGCGACATCACCCATTGCAGTACAAGTAAGGCATCAATAAACGCTGTTGGCCAGTTGTCTTGTGCTTGACAGACCTGGTTGCGTTTTTCCCAGTCGATGTTAAGAACAAGTGCATTGTCTGTAGACATGAGAGGGTTAAGTGAAAACTTATTTTCCTTGTCTTCGGTGAGTGAAAAACTATTCTGAATGCTTTGGATATCTTCAAGATATAGCGGTGTCTTGTCTTTTTCGGTAGCCCTGCATGTTGGTTCCACAGTTTGTGAGGAAGAGGGGTTCAACATGATCAAAACAGCGATGTTCAGATTGTCACCAGAGTTTTTTGGAGTCAACATGAAAACATGAAAAACTCGTAGCCTAGCACAAATATGGCTTTTTCAAGGTTCACACTTCAAAGCACATCGGTGGGCTTGCGCACTTGGCACATCGATGATTCCTTTGCGAACGAAGGTCCGCTCCCTGCTTGCGGACCTTGTCACGTTTCTCCCCTTTTTCCTGCGCACGACTGGTGGTCTGCTGGGTCTTCTGCTTTGGAAGGTGTCATGTTTTTTCGGCCACCACCTCACCATTCACATACACAAAGGTCGCTGAGCTATCCTGCAAACTGGGAAGGGCAAGCTTTTTTTCTCTGCAGGGGATCAGAAGTGAGGTTGCTAGCACCAGGAGGACCTCTGTGCAATTCATTCGATCTTTTCAGCATTCTTCTACAGTAAAGGAACGTTTTTCTACTCGTGGCAACTGAACTCCTTCTTTACCTAGTGGGTTGAACCTGCCCGAACTAGTCCTGTGCGATGGTAAGAGGTACAATCCTATTGTGATGCGATGTGGTGCTTTGCTGGGTCGGAGCGATCCCCGCAAGCACCCAAACACCAACCTTCCAAGCACTCCCTGGGACCAAAAACACACACACACACGCAAACACCAAAGCCCAACAAAGCCCCCCACGAGAAAATGCAAAAGTTTGTTGTATTGATCCGTGTATGCTAGACTGTATTAACTAATGTAGTACCGAAAAAGTAAAACCAAATACGGTATATTATGTTTTTCAGCTATACCTGGCATCGACTAGGGTTCGACGACTGTGCAGCGAGGCGCTGGCGCAGCACGAGACTGATTGCTAAAATTGTCTGCTTAAAGCTGCTTCTATAATATAGTAAATAGTTATACCGCATATATATATATATAATATATATACCTCAACATATCGGCCAATGTTTTCTTTCCATCTGGTTCTGCAAAAGCATGTGCCATCATCCAAGCACTTCCAAAGCAATCGATCGCGGAACAGCTTCTCCTGAGCCCAGCTTCTCCAGGCAGCTGCCATCTCGTCCAGTTCCCCCGCGCTGCAAAAACCGAAGGCCACTGCCTGCGACAAGAAGGACCCTATCTCGAGATGGAAAAGCTGGTAGATGAAGTTATAAATCGACTATATATAATTAGGTGCTATAACTGACAACACGACAAGCATCTGTAGTAGCATAGGATATGAGTCCGGGAGTCCATCTGAGCCGATCTTCCACCGAATTGTAAGGTGACACCTTTAGGAGGGATTCAAGTTCATCTGCACAATCTTCACTCCCCAGGAGATGGAGACCACTAGCACTAGCCAGTTCCAACTATGTTGGCTCATAGCACGAAACCACGGGATGGAGCAATCCTCATTTGCAGCTTTCAAGGCATCTATGCATAATACATTATAGCTACGCCCCTTGAGATCCAAGGGGTTCTCAACTGGCCGGATAGTCCTGAGAAAGAAGCTCAATCCATGCAGTGGATGCAGAGTTAGTTAGTAGTAGTTAGAGTCGATAGCACAAACAAGCCCAAAAGACTCAAATGCATGAAGTGCAATACCATCCCCCAGGAATCGAAGTGGATAACCACCCCCTTGGTAGAGGAACATCTCCATTGCAAGGCAGCATGCCATGCCATGCCATCCCACTTCCATGATTGTCTGAAGGATTCCTGATCCAAAATCCTGTTGTTTCGTCAAGCCACTCTGTGGCCTGCCTCCAAGTCCCGGTATGCATGTGCTTTTGGGGGCGAGAGTGTTTTTGCTCACCTTCAGATTTGGCGGGGTTTTACAAAAAATACCTACAAAAACAATCATTGAACCAACACCAGCCATGAGCACAACACATGTTTTGGTGGATTGAGAGTCGATGGCGCACATGTCCAAGTTTGGTGGTCTATATGAACCCCATGGAACAAAAGTCATGACAAAAGGGTGCCAGTGCCATCGAACCTCTGAAAACACTGGTACAATATGCTGCGAAACCAGTGGCAAAATGTACCAAAATATACAAAAGTCAAGAAGAAGAAGAAGAAGGGCTCCCCCTGGTGCCCTTCTTACTTAAGGACACTCAAGAAATAAGCTCACTATCCTTGCCCACCTGCGGTCCGAAGGTCTCCAGCGTCCGCGTGGCCCAGGACTCTCCGAAGAAGCGCTTCGCGGCCGCGGCATCGGTGCCGGAGTCGGAGTGGGTAACGGTGGACGTGGTGAAGCGAAGGCTGGTGAAACCCGCCTGGGACGGACGGGGCGTGGGATTGGGACGTTCAACAGAGCGCTTTTCCATCTTCGGAGTGGTGAAATGGGATGGGCCAAATGGGCATCGCAAAGTGTTATTGGAGGGTTTTAAGCCTTTCAGGGCATAAGGGAGAATGGATTGGATCTGAGATTCATTTGGCATACCTGGAGACATGGTCTCCACCCACTAATGACTGTCTGTGCATGTTTATATATATATATATTACATATACAATATTATATTATTCTATACTATAGCATATATATATATACACACAGTAATATACTGTCTGTATACAGTATATGTCTCATAATTGTCTCATAATAGCATCCTAGTCTGGTGCCAATTGCTTCGCACAGGGTTCTATCCTTGTATACAAACCTATCAAAGCAACTTCAACATCAATCTCAGAAGTAGCATTCATGCGCCAAAGTTTGCCGGATTCTCAGACCGACTCGCTGTGTGGGGCGAGTCTGGGGTTCTTTGTGGAGGAGGTCTACAGCTTTTGAGGTGGAAACGGTTCACATATATTATATATAAAGGCGCTCCTATCCTTCTGATACTTGTTGCTGTCGCTGCTTCTTGTGTGTATATATATATATATGTTTTCATTTATTGCAGGCTTGTTCCTGTTGGGTCCTGTCTCCAACTATCTCATTGCCAGGTGCACATTTATGTGTACTATATTATGTACTGTAATAATTATATATACTACCTTCGGATGACATGGGATTTAGACAACATACATTTGCCTTATCGCCCTTGTGATCTGCACCCAGTATACATCGTTCAAGCCTATGGCATTATGGGTTCCAAACTGGGAATGCCCCGATTTCAAGTCAACATCATCTGCAATCACACATGACCTGAGACACTTCTCATGTTCCATCACCCGCAACCAATCCCCCCAACCGATCTGCCATCTCAGGGGCTGAGTTCATCCACTTCTTCAAATAAAGCCCAGCATCTGGTTCCCCTCCATTCCTCTGAGCCGTCATCATATAGACCTCTCTCCATCGGTGAAGACCCGGCAACACCGGCGCTCCTTGCCTCAGACGCAGAAAAACCTCCAGCAAAGCACCCCAAACAAGTTCTCCCACATACCGGTGTAGCCCAGAACGCATAGCCATGACCATGACCTCTGTTTTGGATCCGGAACCTTGGATCAAATGCTGGGAGATATGTCGGGGATGTCATAAAGGGTCCGAGGTCACAACAGAAGGGCTCTGTATATATATGGATGGGCACTTTTTAGGGGGGAAACTGGTCAACGAAAAGGGGAAAGTGGTCCAACTTGGGGGGGAAGAGGCCACAACATCGAACAACAACATGGACATGAAGAGAATAAGTACCAACCTCCAGATTTGAATCGCTGAAAGAACCAACACTCCACACCTTCGCGCCTTGGGCGTCACATGGTGTCACTGATTGACTTCCGAAGCTTTGGAAGGAACTTCAAGAACACTGAACCTCCCTGTCAGTTGGATTCAGGATCCCCGAAGCGAAGAATCACCCCCCACACCCTCGACACACGGTCGCGTGCGCGCTCGCAGCTCGCTCTACTTGGCCATGCGACATGGTGGAATAGGCCACCTCTCGAGCTGCCACCAAGCCGCCCGCCTTGCATACACGCCTGGCATGCAAGTGGTGATTTGTATCTCGGAGGCATTCATTTGGGCTGGCTCCAAGCTGAACCATGGATGGGAATGGGTTGGTGTGGCATAGCCTGGAAGGGCACAACCTTGGCCAAACATGGTCTCTGTCATTGCTTCGCCAGGAGTTCTGAGGTTGGCTGTACTTCTGGTTCCGTCGCGGGCCGTCGTTGAGGCAGTGCGGCACCGGGGATGACGGGTGAGCTGACATTCAACGAAACATCACTCAACGAAACCGATGGTTCTCTGTGTTCTCCCTATACTTCCAAGCCACAAACACTCACCCCAAAAATGCCACACGTTCTTCCCAACATCCACCACTTCAGTAGCAGAACCAGCACCCCCCCCCGCCCTGCTTTTCGCACTAAAATCGCCTCATCTCCTGCAGCGCGCGGAGCGGTTCGGAGAGGTGTTGCAGCAGCTGATGTGCGAAGACGACATCGAAGGTCTCATCCTCCTGAGCACGGGATGACCTTCCAACAGATGGGTCTGTCAACCTGGACCATGTAGCTGGTCCACTTCCGGTGACCAACCCGTCGGTATCCTGGTTTTGGGCCCCATGCAATCACGGATCCGCCCTTCGGGCGGATTCGTCGTCCCCAATGGCATCTGCGTTCGAAGCATGGAAAATGGGTCGACCCAAGTTCCTACCACGAAGCCAGGGGATCCATGTCTGCAAGATGCCTCTCCAAATGACATCCAAGAAACATCAAACCATGGGGCCATGCATGGCCATGCCCAACATCGTCCAAGCCACATAAGGCAATTCATAGGCACTGGCCACCTCAAAGGTCACAGACCCCGTCCGCTCCTCGCTGTCCCGTTCTGCTGCCTTCGCCTTGGCCGTGGCAATGACCTCCGCACTGCTGTCGACGCCCACGACGGAGCTGACGCGGGAGGCGAAGCCGCGAGTGATGGAGCCCGGCCCGCAGCCGACCTCAGCGGGTGCGGAAGGTTGGTTGGTAAGGCGATGGTTGGTAAGGCGAGTGCGAGCTCAGCGAAGAAGGAATCCAACGAGAAAAGGTGGTATAGTTATACCGGAACATACCAGAACCCTCTAACAGGTCACCAATTGACATCTGTCAGGGCCCAACGACTCTCTATATATGATCTATATAGGACACCTATTGGAGGATGCATGGTATGGTAGTCAGACTCAACTGGGTACCCGAGCGGGGTTGGCCGTCCAAGCTCTTAAGGAAGCAAGCTGTTCTTCCATGTTCTTCCGAATTTGATTCCGCCCAGCAAGGGTGAAAAGCCACCAAAGCATTCGTTTACAGCCAGCACCATGGATTGGAGGCAAGATACATCGTCAGGGATGTCTAGAAAACTCCAAATTCAATCATGGAAGTGGAAAGCCCCTGGAAGAAGATCATTCTCTGGTCAGCTCCCAGGATTCGTCTAACAAACCGATTTTACAGAACACCGTCGACTTGGCCGGAGGGACATCCAAAAGCTTGACGTGAGGTCGGAGGAAAGGAAGCAAAAACTGCGCCGAATCCTCCACCGTCCGAGCACCATGTTGACTCACCACGCTCGCTGCATGCCCATGAGTGTAGCGTTCCATGGCTCTTAGAGATTGATCAGAGATAGACGCCCCCATGGGGAGTGAGCCGTGGAATCGAGTGGGTGCTAGTGCATGACTGAGTATGACTGACATTTCGCTCGTGGCTCCGTTTTCCTGTTTTTTTTCCAATACCGCACATATATACGAGTGGCTAGGCTTGGGTCATGAAGAATGGGCCACTGCGTGTGGACACAATGAGCTTGGATCCCTGACCTTAGGCTTCAGAATGCGTTCATGGCCTTGGGTCCCAAGCGAACAAAAGAAATCAAATCCAACAGCTCACAGCTGCCATGTAGAAAGCCTGGTAGAAAGGTGCGTAGATTTTTGTCAAGGGGAGGGCGTCCAACGGTCTGGACCGGTGTGGGCCGAACTCAACTCGCTTTCACGGTCCGGTCGGATCACATGGGATCCTCATGCTTTTTCCACTTCAAGGACAGAGAAGTATTGTCTATTTTCCGTGAGAGGCAGAGGTCGTTGCGGCATGTTGTGGCATGTTGTTGCATGTGGATACGTTCTTGAGCCACAGGTCACGGGCACGCCATTCACGGGCTGAAAGATTTGTAACATGTGTTGGAGCACCAAGTTATGATGCAAGCAAACTGATCACTCTTCTGGCACTCTTTCATAGTTCCCCTTGATTGATCTAAGGGTATTGGGTTGGGGTATTGGAGGCTTCCGTTTGCCTTTCAGGGCTAGATCTTTAAAAAGGCACACACTTCTCTCTCTGTCTTCCTCTCTCTCTCTCTCTCGCTCTCTGTCTCCCTCTCTCTTCCTCTCTCTCTATCCCAGGGTCTCCACAGGCCTTTCTCACATGCATTTAGCAGCGCGTTGCGGCTGATCTGATCTGGAGGTGTCTGGCGCCTTCAGGCGACGCTTCGGTAGCGCGACGGCGTGCGACAGGCCAAGCGCAGCTGTTGAGATGAGAAGTGACATTATGTGACTTATGTGACGGCCCAAAGAGGCATTGGATGAATGGATGGATGGATGGACCCTCCAAAAAAAGCATAGCCTTTGAAGTGACATTGGAGACGGGCGGAGTTGGTGAAGAAACTCTGTGGTTAGCAACATCCATGGCCGAAGTACAGTTGACACACTTGGACAGCAAATGACTCTAAGCTGTAGACTCTGATCTGATAGCTGCGTGACCATCAAAGAAAACCAATCTAGCATTTAGCTTGCGTTTTTGGATTCTGCAATGAATTCTGCATGTTTCCAGTGGAGTTACTCCTTTTGTTCCCCCTTGAAAGACAAAAACATCCATGTATATACTACACTTCGCAAACAAGGACTTCATATATGAAGCACTTGAGATCACTTGAGCAAGGGCACTCGATCATTTTCTCCACAATCCCAACGGCATGCTGCCAGCGGCTTGCAGATGCACAAACATTCAGCACCTGAGCACGTACATATGAGGCTGACCATGCCAATTCTGGGCCATAAGGCATGCTTGCAAACCCAGATCATCCATGTGTAGTCAATATATATATATGTATAATATATACATGTACAAGTACCCTCCTTATAACTTTGTGGCCTTGATGTAAGCAACCAACCACTGTATTCCGGCCTGGGTCTCACCCCCGCCTGGCCCCGCTTTTTCCCTGGCGCCCTTTCCAGCCTTCCCCTTAGACCTCCGTGTGACGAAAAGTGGCGAGGATCCGATGGAAGTCGGACGGTTTCTCCGAATGAAGGTCCACGGACGTCGACGCGGGCCTCTCGATCCGATCGGCCTCTCCTCTTCGAAAAACCAGGTGGACTTGGAGCTGATCCAGCTCCAGGAGCGACATGGAGCCACTCATGGAGCCACTCATGGAGCCACTCATGGAGCCATGGGGCGTGATTCGTTGGTTTTTGCAGGTGATGCACGTGCTTCCTGGCTATGGAAACCCTCGCGGAGAGGACCTCAACGTGAGCAAATGGGCCAAGACACAGCGCTGTAGCACATCTGGTCCGGCCAAACCAGGCTGCTGAGCATCTGATGCCTTGGGGGAAGCATCTGGCAAATCTTGTAGACAAGATCGGTGTCTTTTGATATAGTGACAATTAGTGACATTTGTTTGGTTCGTTTGGTCAAGCCACGTGGATGAAGCGGTACAGCGGTACAAGCCAACGCTTGCCCAGAGTAAGTGAAAGTATCTGCGGTGGTCTGGGCTTCAGGTAGATTCTTTGATTCATTTTTACTCCCCGTATGAATGAAAAGGATTTACAGTACCCCTTGGGCGGGGTCTTACTAGTCAAGAGTCTACATTACGGACGTTGCAGTCATGGCGCAGTAGTCCCAAAGAGATCTCCCAGGCCGCGTCCACCTGCTCAGCAGAAAGGCAGGCCGTGCGGGCGGTGGGAGCCGTGGACGAGAGGAACAAGTGGGAAGAACTTGTTGGGCTTTTCAGGACTCATTGGTTGAGTAGAAGAGAAGTTCATTCATCACTGAGTTGCACATATATCCTGCTTTCCCTGCGCGAACCATTGCCCAGCTTAGCAGTGCGTTCCCATTACTTCCAGCTGTGCGTGACGCCGACAGCGCCGGCAGCTCTGCGTACACATGCTGCGACGGACTCACCTGTCGTCATGTCGTCGCATGGCCAAGGTTTCTTCGCAAAAACAACTACTACCCCAGCCCCTGGAGCCAGATTGCATTGGAATGTACAAACCCTTTTCTTTTGCTGCAGGGGGAGTGGGCGCATGTCACGGCAACCGATTCCCTTTGCTACTTGTGGGTGTCTACCTGCGACAGGCGGGCTACCTGTGGCAACAAATTGTGGGTTCGCTTTTGTGCTGAGCTGATCTAGATGCAGGTACCTTCCCGAGAACTTTGTGAATACATCTTCCTTGTTTTTGGAAAATGACAAACATTGACATGTCGTGTAATGCATACTCCTGATGGCAGGCAATCCACCACTCCAAATCTTTGAGACCTCCGGGCCCCCATCCGGCACTGCGAAAACCAGAACAAGCGATCGCTGGGCGCTTGCCGGATCGCTGCAGCAGCTTAAGTAGCCCAATCACTGCAATTGCCCCACCTTCTCCAAGTTGAGACAGAACAAACATCTTCCCAAGAACTGTTAAAATGCCGAGTGATGGATCCCAGTGGATCCATTTTGTTCACAGGAACCGGGTTCGGTGTATGGTAAACCAGTCCGAGAAAACCACTGCAGTACCAGCTATACAGTGATGGTCACCGGATCCCCTTCATGTGGGAACACTGGAAGCTGGTGCTCGGAGCTTCGATGAATGATCGAAGCAGCGAAGCAGCTCCGCAAGTCTCCCCTGAGCGCTTGGAATCCGCTAAGATCACGAGTGGTCAAAGGAACAACCGGAGTCCGAGAGTGGCCCACACAGGCTGTTGCTGTTCCTGCACACATCTGCAAACATGGATTGTCTTGAGTCTTGACTTCTAACTCCCAGCAGGTTCCAGCACTCATGCTTCAAACATCTTCAAATTCTCGTCCTTCGCGCCGTGTGGCGCGTGCGTAAAAACGACGTTCGCCTGGCAGGTGCTGATGGCCACGCTGAAGGTGATGGATGAGCCTCAGTTGCAGCTGCGGTGCTGAAGGCACTGTCCTGGAGGACAAACAGCTACGACATGAGCCGATAATTACGCCACGAAGCAAGAGTTTGTGCGAGCCGTGAGTCTGTAAACTATAGAGTTTGAACTGTGCATGTGAGACCGAACTTTGTTGTATCAAGAGTGTATGTGAATGCTAGGATTCCAACCACAATTTATAAACATGTTTTAAACCTAACAACCAGTGTTCTACTAGACGACTACCTTTCTTTTCATTATGGTCTCTCTGAAGGCTAGGATGGGATTGGGCTCTGAAGGCGCGGCTCGCTCCTCACCAGCTTCCAGTCCCACATTCAGAGGATCTGGTGTGTATGGTTTGGTTTTCTGGGACTGGTTTACCATAGGCCGAACAAACACCTGGTTCCAACGTGGAAAACTCATCTCGATTCCCCGATGGCCGTGGCCGTCGCGGTGAGACACCGGCGCGACGGCCCCAGGAATTGGGACTGGAAGGCTGCAAACATTCCCTGAAGGGACGATGATTCTTATAAGGGGTCAAAACATGGTTTGTTCAAACGTTGAATGACGTTCAAAATTAAACACACTTAGTATTTACCTATAAGATCCTATAAGTACAGTACATTTGGTTTGTTCAGATGTCTTTTAAGGGGTCAAAGTATATAGGTAAACCTGTTGCAGTCCCATGGATTGGTATAGGGACACGAAACCCCACCCCATGGCCCTTTAAGGATGCTGCCACATGGACGCCCCTTTAACCTCCGACACGAGGGGTCTTAAACTCCACACTGTAACCTGCAACTCGTGGTGAATGTAGCTATGGATCAATCAAAATTGGAGTGTACAACCTCTTGGGGGTTTGGGGGTATTGGGGGGGTTGATGAAGAGTCTACATAAGGCAATCTTGAATCAAATTCTGGTGGCTAGAAACACCTGAGACTACCCGAACCCAACAGACTACCGGTAGTCTGACGCAGTCGTCCGTTTCGTGCCAGGTCCACCATTGATCTGAAACCGCCGTTGTCACGGTGGGTCACCGGTTGCGGCAATGATCAAACGGTCACAAGTGACAACGCTTTAGCTGCTTTTTGGGGTTTCCATGGATGGATCGATCTAGTAACAATACCAAAAACATATCTACAAATTATATATATTTTTTTATTATAGCTTCTGCATTTTTGGGGGGGTTGGGGGGGTACCCTCTAAATTAATCAGCCAATAGTGAAAGGCCTGCTATGCGCTGCACTTGTGTAACCTACTCTTCCAAATGCGGAAGTGGACACTGGGTCGCAGCAAAAAATACAAATCGTCTGCCAAGTAACATGCTTCCACGGTTTCTTCGTTTCTAGGGGGGCACAGCGGCACAGTCAAGCTGATCTTGAAGCGACTTCATGTGCCTTAATTGTTTCCCCCAAGGTCAGAAACAAAACTCACAAAACAACTGTTTCCCTGCACCAGGTCGGCAGTTTAGCAGCTTTCCCTTTGCAAAGGATTTGGTTGCTAGCTGCTAAGCTCGCATCCGGCGACCCAACAAATAGGCTAAGCGGCTTGGTGCAAGACCCACCAACCGTCCTCTATAGGAGGCCCTCAGGACCCCAGGCATAGTGCGGGACCCGAGCACGGCGTTGCTGTTTTGGACCGTCTTGAGGCCAACGTGCCCACCACGGGTGGGTTGGCAAGTGAGACCCAGTAGCCCAAGGGGTTTTCCGGGCAAAGAGCCCTCCAGTTGTAGATGCTCATGGTCTCCAGGACACTTCTATGCGAGCATGTCCACCATTGAGCGTTTTGTCAATGATTTTCCTTCTTCCTTGGGGTTGAGCTGAGAGGTCTCCCTGTTATAGCCACAGGCTTGAAATCACTTGAATTGACCTGGTTTGCTGAGCGTCATTCGTGGCGCAAAATAAAGGGCGCCCTGGCGTGTCATCGTGTCATGGCCTGCTTCTCCATGCTTCTGGCCGAAGCCAGAAGTCCAAGGCCTGCTTCTGCGAGACGAAGTCCCTCAAGACTGAAGGACTGATAAAAAATAGCTCCGACTCCTGGGCTGACAGTCCCCTGAAATGGGATTGTGTTTTCTTGTTGCACTATCCTGCGCTGCCTGGATGGTGACGGGGTTAAGCACTTCTCCCGCGATAAACCTCAAGGCGCTCATGTTAGGAGCTTCTACTGGAGAGTCAACGGTCGGCAACAAAATGGATTTACACTGGACCACCCTGTAAGAAGCCCCGCTTGTAAGGCCTCGGGGTATAGCGCAACATACTAGCTCAACAGTCATTCCACCAAAACAGGTCACGTACCCCGCTGCGACATGCGATCCTAGATGTTTTCGTAAAACATCGTAAAACCCTCCACCGAAACATCACCCAGCCCAGGCAGGTGTAGGCCCCCAAAAAAAACATCGGCTTAAACAGTTTGTTGCAGTTTCCATGCAACAGCGAGATAGTGGATAAAAACTGATTCTCTTCAGTGCATGGTCCATCACGCTCGAATTATTGTCAGTTGCCCGACACATACACACAAAACTGGCCTTCTTGGCTGCCATTTCATTTCGGCACCCTCACATTGCAATGAATCAATGAATCACCAGCTCACACAATCATTTTACATACGTGTCCTTTTGCTGCATCATTGTCTCTACGACACTGTTCAATGTCTGACAACAAGCAGCCGTACATTGCAAACAATTTAGACACATTCTGGTGATTCTGCTGCATACATAGACAGAGGATGGTTGATTGCAAGACAAATTGGGCATGCTTAGTGTGCTGCATTTTAAACCTTACCATCCTGCCATTGATTTCGGCACTTCAATGATTTGCGAGCCCTCTCATGATCTCATGGGCTGTCCTCCAGGACTTGCCCTGGCAAAACAGCGTTAAAAAAAGGCTCTCTGCCCGTCTCAGCTGTCTTTGCCGTATGACAGCGCAAAGGACATTGCGAGCGGAAACGAAGCCAGCCACCAATGCACTCAGAGTGGAAAATGTGTCCACATGGGAGTTGCCTCGGCCGACCGGGAACCCGAGAACCTTCGCCGGTCCGTCTGAAGAAGTGGGCCCACACTTGCCTACAGGCAAACCTCTTGGAGATCTCACCTTCTAAACAGGTTGTACATGCATGGTTACACCTCGTATAGTGAGTGTAGCATCCCTGAGAACATCTGAGAACCCTCGGACCCTCCATACCAGGGCACGGACTCTCGGAAAGGTCTGGACTCGAAGAAAAGCACCCTGGCCCTTGCATTGCTTCAGCCGGGGTGTTCAGCCTGAACTCGGAACTTCACTGCGTACCGAGCATGGTTTGTCCAAGAACACCTGAATGAGTTTCATGACCCTCGGTATTTTGTTCCGCTAACCCGCGCAGGGCGCTTCCGCCCCTCTTCCAACACCCGGACACCAGGACCCCTCTCAGGTGTGATGAGCTTGACACCCAAACAGGTTACAGGTTTCGGCTGGGGAGAACAAGCACATCCCTGATGCATCAAGCGGGGTTTATCTATTTTTGGAACGACATTCTCACCCTATATCACCGTATATCACAGATAGAAGAACAAGTTACACCGCTTCCTCCTCAAAGCAGTTGAGGCAAATGCTGCACTGCTCTCCTTCATGTCCTGAATGGTGTGCCGTTTTCCGCACCACAAATACAACACGCCGATGTTCGGGGACACTGCTGACTGCAAACGTCGACATCGGAATCATCGGATGTCCCATGGCCAGTCTAAAGCACCGGAATGTCAGAAGAATCGATTGACATGTCGACTGAGATGTCGACTGAGAGAGTCAGGACTCAGGACTCTTCTCTTTTTGTGACCCACGCCAGGTGTTCTTGTGTTGGATGCTCATGCGCATGGGTCCTTGCATGTCCTCGCCATCGGATAATTGGCTTGAATGTCGTCGCGGGCAGAAGCTTTCGAAAGTTAAAGCTTTTTGCGGGCTTTCCTATATATACCCAGACACTCCATATATGCCTACATTGATCCCCAGTCAACCACCCCAATTGATCGGTATATAAATATACATACATGGAGTGTCTGGGATAGATGGGAAGTGACTGCTTTGTTTGGGGGGAGGGGCGCAGGGCATCGCAGGGCGCAGGGCAATGGATCCACACGGGGGTAGCTGGGTCACTTGGCCCTGTTCCAAGGGTTCTATCTTCCAAAGAACCGCCAGCACACATGCGCCAGAAGTCACCAAAAGGTGGTGTTTAGTCTCGAAGTGAGTGGATACCCATTACCTCCATTCAGCACCCCTTTGGAACTGCTGGTGGTTTCTTCTACTTTGAGACCATGTTCTTGCCCCAAAATGGCCCGAGAACCACGGCGCAAATGGTTCCAACTAGTCATGCGCAGGCCCAGCATCTCTTCTCAAGTTGGATGCTCTGGGGCCTCGGCGGCACCTCGTTCACTTCAACCTCCATTCGATCCTCCTGGCGGCTGCTCCGGTCGCCGGTCGCCGCGGACACACCCAACTGATGCAGGTGGTCCAACTCGGAGGTCCAAGCATGCTGCAGCAGCAGGTTCGGGTGATGCCACATGGTGCAACATGGTATTTTTGGTTCTACGTTTTCAAGGAGAGTTCCTTTTTTCAGCCAGGTGGCTGTTTCCACATGTTTCAACACAAAAATCGCCCTCTGAGGAAGAACCGTTGAGCGAACCCTTCCAGGTTCCACCTGAGATCCCCAAAACAGGGGAAACCTCCTTGGACCGCTTTGAGAAAACCCACCGGTCACCTCCCGCGAACGGCACGGAACCGACCCGTCTTCGCGGAGATCCCGCAAGTCGAGAACCCTCGCAGTCCGTGAAGATGCAGAGCAAGTGCAGAAACAAAATGTCCCAGGTATCCAGGATCACTGAAGCGGTCAGCGCGATCATGTCCCACGTGAAGCCGTCCTTGTGACTCGCTTGAGACATCAAGTTGCAATTTAATCTTTCCAAGTTCCAAGATCTATGAGAACCACTGGGCCTATCCCGGCCCAATGAAGCAAAGCAACTACAAAAAATGCACAAACAATGTCCAACCAACTGAGACGGCTGAGGCGCTCAATTTCCATCATTTGACTTCTATACTCCCAAGCTGTTTGCCTGAAACACCAACTTTCCACCTGACCTGTTCATATTAAGCCCCACCCAGGTTTTGCAAAGAGGTGATCCACGGCCAACCCCATGCGCCCCCGCCATACACTCCCCGAAATGCGATGCGAAGTGGGAAGAAAAGGCTCTCAAGACTCAAGGGGTACGACCTACAGTATCCGGGAGCTGCTTAGCGGGGGCGAGGACTGGGCCCTCCAAAGCTTTTGGCTCGGATCAAGCGACCTGAGCTTTGGTCGGTCTGGATGGGTGACCCAAGCACTTAGATGAGTACAACAAGGCAATTTGAAGATTCCACCGCCGTGTGAACCCCACAAAGGTATCTATAAATCTGGAGGCTTTCAACTTTCAATATAGTCATAGCCAAACGTTGAGCCTATGGCACCAACGAGGATCTCAGCGGAATGCTGGGGTGCTCTGACAAGCCACTACTACCTTTTGGGACCCTTTGAACCTCCAGCAATGCACTGAAAGACACCAAAATTGAAGCCCAAAAATCTTCTGAATAAAGAACAAAAACAAAGAAAACACGCACATCAAATATAGTTCTATTTTGGTCGAAGGTGATTCTCCAAAAGAAACAACTGATAGCACAAATACCGCCGGATCATCACGGTCATGAGGTCAAAACACTGTTTGACAGCTATTTGTAGGCCCATTTTGTTGGACCAAAAAACCCTTAAAAAAGGGTTTACCAAAGAAGGATGCCCCTGACTAAAGGATGAAACCTGACGTACATGACCAAATCGGATCCGGCAAGGCCCAAGCATCTGAAATCGAGAAGCTCCGTTCCGCTGGGCTTCCCCACCAGAAAAACGAGAAGCACCGAAAAAACACACCCATCGACTCAGCAGTCACGGCCATCAAGCAAAGCACCCCAAAACATCAAAAAAAAACGGCCCAGGTGCAAACTCATTCACGCTGGACATGGAGAGAATCGCCAGTGCTAATGCGACACAGGTCGCTCCCTGTGCCACCGTGCGCCTCCGCAGCATCGCAGCACCGTGGGCCACAGCCTGCGGTGCTGCGTCTCTCGGGGCGACGAGGGCTGAACCTCGTCACGGAGCTGCGAACCGAGCGGAACCAGAACGAAAAAAAAGAACGGTATAGACTCCAGGTGTCGAATTATGATGGCCTTTCTGCAATCCCAACATCATCTACGAGTATCATCTTGGAATATCTTGGAATGTGGTCACTACATGTCACTACCACAATCATGGGCTCGTAAAGCACTGCTTCACTGATGCATCCATGTTGGCTTCGATGGTCAGTTCTCCAACCACACAGGTCGGCATCCCAAACGGAATTCCCATCGAGCACTGACTCTGCGCCCTGTACGCTGCGTTGCCTTGGTAAGTAAGCGCAAGAGCAGCGCGAAGCTTGCTAGGTTGAGCGGCTTGTTGGTCCGCAGGGCTTCGGCCGCCACGAAGACATCCAGCACGAATATCGCAAACCTCCACGCAAGCGACAAGTCGAATCCTTTCAACAAACATCTACAACTTCCGCATTGTGCGTCACTTTGTAGTAGTGAATCAAGGTCGAAAAAGCCTAGACTGCTGCAACAAAGCACTCGCACCCACAATTGCCACAGGACATGCAAGCAATTAGTAGGTAAGAGAAAGATTCGGACTATATAGATGTGATTCGAACATGACTTTGGTGATGATTTGATGATATTTGATGTATCTTTTGTGAACCCCAGCGCAGCACCACTGCAATTCTGAGAAGAACATCGAGCAACCCAAGTGCCAGGGCCCCAAAGAGACCAGGTGAAGGCTAATTAATTACAAACCTGCATGATTATGATAGTCACATTCAATACCTTTTTCTTGGGCAGCTGTTTAGTGACGACAGGCGGACAGCAAAACCAATGAATTGGCACAAGTCCGCTATCTAGAATCTAGACCCAAGTTGCACGACTATGTACTACCTGCGTGCATTACAATATTTTATAATCATCCTACCTGTGTGCTCAGGTCCTTTTCTACGCGCAAAAAGTTTACATGTTTCATGCGCTCAGGTCCTAACACGTGTTTTCCTTTTGCACACGAAGCAATTTGGACACCAAAACGACAAAGAACACAAGGGGACAGGGAACTCTAGTTGGATCATCAAAGAACAGAAAAAACGCATGGTGTGGGTTCCTGTTTCAGAGGCTCATGTCGGGTGTTGGGCCGCCAGCTTAGTACCTGGAAGGACGTCTGTGCCACCCTATGTTCACTTTTCTTTTAACACACCACCAGAAGAAGGACGTCTGGGCGAGGGCCGAGCTGACAGGACTAAGACGATGCTTCTAAGACGAATGGGTCGATCGAGAGATCGGATAGGCAATCAAATACCTTCTGAACAGTCTTTTGGGTTATATGGCTATATAGCAGGCTGGAGTATATTACTTTGGGTTATATGGCTATCATACTCCAGCCTACTATAGCTATATAGCCCAGTCTGACAGTTCATGAACAGTCATTGCCTGCGATCCGTCGAGATCGGCCAAGTCGTGCTTGCAGGATTTCTTCATTCACCATTTCTGGAAGCCCCAGAAATGGCCCTCCAACAAGAGCATGGTCCATATGATACACTGGAAGCTGCAACTCTATGCCCACAGCCACTATGCCTAGCACCACCTGAAGAAAAACAGCTCCAAATAGTTCCAAAAACACCATCCGAAGACCACTTTATCCACTTTCATGCGAACGTGAGAGAGCAGTATGGTAAGTCACCCGCAAGAGCACAACCGCGGACCCGCGGATGCGGCGGCCAGGGTCGGTGAGAGTGACGGACCAGGGGCCCGGTCACATCCGGTGGCCAATTGAACATATGGAAGTGGAGAACACCTATAACTAGCCTATAGGCAGCCTATATAATTGATCTATATTGATCTAGTATTGGAAAACGAGTCTTCCAAGGTGCCTTGTGATCCATCTGAGATGGATATATAAAGAAATTGATATCATGAGCCCGTCAGACCTATGTCAGACTGGAGCCTTGCCACGTCTAGCTTCAACCCAGCCACTCTGCAGCCGTAGCTCGCCTCGGTCGTGCTAAGCACCGAGACTGTGCTGGGCCCCGAGACTCCCCATCTGTATCGCCGACGGCGAGTGTCGCTGGCGCGGTTTCGCCGCGCTACGAACGGAGCAAGGATGCTACTAGGGGCTGGCCTTACTACCAGGAACAAGGACGCTACTAGGAGCAAAGGGCATCGCTACTCATGCTTGGTCACATCTGCATCAAGAATGGAGAAGAATTGGTTCCATCAATCAGTAGGTAACCGGACCGTTGCAAAGCCCATATCATCATCTATAAAGGGGCTTCCAAACATATTCATCCGCCGTCCCAGCCGCTGCTATCAGCCATTGGGTGACCCTTCAGAAGCTAGGTGCTGGGACCCGACCACAGGTCTGTGAACCTGGGAGCCGAAGCAGGTCACCAGGGTTTGCACCTCTTCCTCTTGCAGGGTGGGGACAGGTAGAAATCCAGTAAAACACAATCCTTTTGGCCATACCTAGACTCGGACTCGGGTCACCTCAAGCCTGAAGACCATATATCCTACAACTTACAACCGTGTTGGAAACAGTCCACTAGACTCCCCAGGGGAGATTCTCTTGATTCTCTTGAAATTGTCTTGGTTGTCTTGTGGAGATTCCCTGGGTGGAACATGTCTTGAACATTCCGGTGTTCGCTTCCCTGCTCCATTGCTGCCCCACAGCCACTCAAAGTGCGAGGGAGCGAAGATTTCACAAACATGCGCTGGAGCTTGGTGCTTGGCATCAAAATGAAGGTCAACCTGCTCGGACTTGTCACTGGGCTGGGTTTCCAGCCGGATTGGCCAGTAGAACCGGGACAAAAAGCCCCATCCCGTGCCCATCCCCTCCAGAAGGGACATACACCCACCCAGTTTGGAAAACTACAACCTCACCCGATCGGCTCGGTAACCGAACCTTTATCCACGGCTCCATTCCTCCTCCTCCTCTCCTCCCTCCTCTCCGAGGTGCGCATGACCTGCATCACCCGCAGCGCTTGGGGCCAGGAGGGGCAAGAACCCAGGGCCTTGCAAAACCGACCATCGACCGTCTTCGACTTGTACCGACCTTCTTCGATGCTCCTGGAGGCAGCGAAATTCCTGTGGAGGTGGGGTCTGGGTCGAAGAAGGGCCACTTCTACAGTGGTTTCAGAGTAGCTGAGTAGCATGGCACTGGATCTCTTGGACAAATGGGGGGTCCATCATTGCAGCGATCGAACCTCTGAGCCCCTGTGCGATCGAACGTAACCACTGTCGGACCTCTTTGGGGGACAGGTTGTGTTGGAGGCACCATCCCGATCCCAAAGAGGTCGTGTTGGAGGCCGTGGAAGGCTTCCAATCTCCAGGTGTTGTATGTCCCCTCAAAACCCGTGGTATTCCTACGAACCTCAAAACATCCCTATAATATAGTGCATTGTAGCACTAGGTACTGCAGGATACTGCAGGCAAATATTCCAGTCCCATGGATTATCTGGGTATTATAAATGGGTTGCCCTGGCTGGTGTACGGGAATCCATGGTTTGCAACCCCCAAAACGAATCAAAACGATGGATTTCCTGTAGAATTCCACTGAAACCAATTCTGGGAATGTTTGACATCACACCTTCATCACACCCATCAGCTTCCCCTTCTTTCCCCGCCAGGCCACCAATGAAGCATGCACCGCATTCGGCGCAGTAACGACACTGCTCAGCAAGTGAAGACCTTGACGCCAATGACTCTCAGGTCGGAGGGCCTTCATGGCAACCTTGGATTTGCTCCAAGAACAGCGAAACAAATCTTCCCCCAAATAAACACACCCAGGAACTGGGAAATCAACATCACTCCCAGTCTAGGGCCTTCATGGCAAGCTCACAGCTTTTCACTTGCGACACGCGCGAAGACTTCTCGAACGGACGAGGATCTTGGACAAAGAGAAAAAAATGACCCTACCAGGACCTTCCAACAGGTGATGTTGTTGCTCACGGGTGGTTTTTGGAGCACCACCTGGCGCAAATATGTGCAACATAGATCAACATAGAGCTTTTTTCTGGGCAGAAGTGAAGCCATTCTTCCAAATCGATCATCGACATGTGCGATATGATGGCACCTCTGCGACTGTCCCACGAAGACCTAGCCTTTCGAGTTGGTGACAGAAGCAGCCGAAGTCGCAGCGGAAGCCACGAGGCCGGGATGGTCAAATGCTCCATGTAAGGCAAATATGCCATACATGGAGGGTCTGGGTTATTCTGAGATACATGGAGGGTGCTCCAACCCCCGAAACTCACACAGTCTGAGCATGTCTGAGTCGGTGTACCTCACAGTCTGACCATGTCCAACTCTCCAACTCTTTGACCGAAACACTACATGGGTTGGAACTCTTCAAGTCTCAACCAGCAGTTCCATTTTGGGGTGCTTGATTGGAGGTGCCACATGGAACTCCTCAAAACCCACATGGAACTCCTCAAGGTCTTCAACCCGAGATGGGGCAACACCACACCACCATGCCGTTTCCACCATGCTGGGCCCCCGGTCGCTGTAGTGGATCTCATTCGGAGCCACTCCTCGGGTCGCAGCCGATGCGTTTTCTCATCCACCAGGGAGGTTTGCAAGCTGGGGCCAAGATTGATGCTTAGTGGATGCCCAAGAGCCAAGGAGTTTCGATAATCGATTGCCGCAAATTCTGATTTCTAATCGATGTCGATTGCCGCTTGCCAGATATGAGTTGCAGATGTTTTTCGACATCGATTAGATTTGTTGTCTTGGTGACCCATGTCGCCCCTCCAATGCTGGAAAGACGTTTTTTTTCCGGCGACAGCGACGTGGTGACGTCAGGAGCATCCAGTACAACTAGGCAACCTGCCTGTGGTTTTCATGTCCCGTTGCTTGGTCATTCATGACGCCAACATGCCAAACAATTCACAAGTAATGACCATCCTCTGCATGAGAATGCTCACCATAGCCGTCCTTTTTGCAAGAGGGACATGGATGCTTCTTTGGAAAGCCAGTTGTCTCCTGAATCCAATATTCGTGTACTTCTTCTCTGGGCGTGATGGGGGTGTAATGGACCCCCATAAAAACGTCTACCTACAAAACAAATGCAAGCCATACCACGCATATAGGTGACTAGCCGCCTCTCCAACCGTGGGTCATGGTGGAAAACACTGGGCGATAGGCCATTGCTTAGAGTTTGGAAGCAAAGTTGGAGGGTGCTGAATCTTGTCTTGTCAAGGCTCTCCAGGTTTTCATGAAATCCAAGATGTGCAGGCAGGATGTCCACACACTCTTCTTCTCCTTGGCTCAAGTGGATGAGGTTCTCATCGGGCGAAAACTCGTGACGGTGAGCTCCTTCACACACTCTTGTTTTTTCAATCCCTCTCTCTCTATATATATATTATACATTAGAAAAACATACAGTGGTCTTGGAGGTTCGATATGCACCGGCACCCAAAAATGTCTTGGACAAATGGAGGTCCATTCCATATAAACAACCTTTTGGGGATGGTGCCATCTAATGATTCTGACATATCTGTATGTATATTATATACACATATGCATTCTATGGGCAGGGTGGTGAACGTAACACCAAATGTCCGCCATTGTGGAGCTTGTGGGCACACGTAAACCTTGACATGATCCCTCCAGGATCCAAAATCTACCAGGACAAAATGGATTCATGTAGTGGGGCCACAGCATGATCCTGCATTGAACAACCAACCTTCCTGTAAGTTGCAGCATCCCCATCCCCACCATGGCTTGGTGGTGTTTCTTGGTCCCAAGCTGACCTATTGAAACTTGCGCACCCTTCGGTCGCAAGGGTGCCGCCGAGAAGGTCACCCCTGCACCAGGCGGTTTTCCGGCGGATCCCAGCGGCCCGGAGTACCAATAAGGCCGGACATGGCATTCATATAGTACGTATACACGAGACTGTAACTACGATTTGATGGGAGGCTGTAGTATGATCATTGTACTAGATTCAACTTTATGATTTAAATAGGACAAAGCTACACAGTTCGACCCCCTGGAAGAAAGAACATAGACCAACATCGATTGACGGACATTGATTGGGTTCCCCGATGTAAATACACACCTTTATGATCCTTTATGCATCTACTGTAAATATGGTTTTCCTACTGCGGAAATGTTCTTCTCCTTTTGGACATGTTCAAAAAGATGTTAGTTTCCTCGTGCTTCCTCGATGGATTCCAAAAACATCCTCGCAAAACACACATGTTCTGTCAAACATCACGGGAGTTTCTGCTTGCTGCTGACTGAACACAGCGATGCGCAAGGGCCCAACTGGCATCATCAACTGGCATCATCAACTGGCCAAGTGACACAAGCAGACAAGGCTGCACTGCAGTGGAAGGCATTCACTTGAATCTGGCCTCGTGTGGCGGCACTCCGCTTAGCCGCAACTATGGTAATAACCATTAAAATACACCAAAACAAAACCAATTGTTGGATATTATTGGCCTATTTTGGTCATTAAGCACAAGTTATTTTGCTTTATTCTGGCTCAGGCTGTGTCGTCGGGTTCTTTACTGTATACCGTATAATATCCATAATATTATACAATGGTTCCGATTGGAGGACTCGCGGCCTTTGCAAACCGTTTGCTCAAAACATGGGCAATGAATGTCTGCAGAAAATATGGCATTGGTCAAAGCAGCAATAAACAACCAGCTGAGGTTTTGCACTTGGCCTTCGGCAACTTGGCCCATGAACCAGCCTCCAATATTGACCAACCACTGCTTATTTATTCTTCCTAGGTGCACACAGGTGTTCCATCCCACATGAGTGCCCCACATCAATCTTTTGCATTTGCTTTCCAGGAGCCGGGAAAGAACATCTTTCCAGGATATGGGCGCTTATGTTAACAAGAAGATCCCTAATCAATGGTTGTTTGATTGTTTTCGTCTATGTTCCTTCTTCCTTGGGGTGGAGCCGGGAAGTCTCACTATTTTAAGGCGCGTTGGCTCAGCCATATTGGGGAAAATCAGCATCACCCGAAAACCCACAAAGGCGATGCTGGCTCTTACTGGACCAGCAGCTGTGGACCATCTGGGGCAACAGTTCCATGACCACGGAGGCCTTTGCGCCAGCCAGGAAGGAGGTCGCCGCCTGGCTGGAATTTGGCAGTGCACTACTAGCAGTTCAATGTCGGAATGGTCTTTAATCCGCCGACCCTGCCCTAGCCATCATGGCCGGGCAGGGTGCCGCCTGAGACCACTTTTGGTGTGGAGCTTTGCTGTGCCGGAACATAGCTTTGTCAATATGTTAAGACTCCCTGTGTTCTCCTTCCTTT